ATTATCCAACTGGGATTTGAACTCACTTAGTTCACGGCATTCCGATCTTCCTACTACATCACCATGTCTGTGCCAATAAATAATTTCACCTGTATTCCTACACTTTGGACTTCAAAGTAAATCTCAGCTTTGTATAATACACACATGAAAAACAATTATATTTATCATAGTGACTCAGGAGTAACATTAAAGAAGAAAAAGATGTTCCACCAACATTAGACAACTACACAGAAAACCCTAAAAATGCTGAAATGAAATGAATGATGAGAGAATAGTCAGATGAACTGCATTTTTTTTGCTAAGTGCAAATATGTATTATAGGTAATGAATGTGTAGGAGACATCTAAGAATGCTACAGACTTTGTGGAGCAGCAGAAACATCAGCATTTTTCACAAATCCAGAGGTTAAGAGTTAAAATTCCAGGTGGGGTCATATTGCAAAGTCAGTACATTTTACATTTTAGTCATTTAGCAGACGCTCTTATCCAGAGCGACTTACAGTTAGTGAGTGCAAACATCATACTGGCCCCCCGTGGGAAACGAACCCACAACCCTGGCGTTGCAAGCGCCATGCTCTACCAACCGAGCTACAGGGGACTGTGATCATGTCAAATGTAAAGATTGTCATTGATTAAAGATGTTTACACTATGTTAGCTGTTTACATGTGTATTGCAGATTTACATGTGTAATTAGCATGTGAAAACCTAACTCTCACATGTGGAATTGCATTTTCACATGTAAAAATTTTTCACAGGTGAAGATCTAGCTCTCACATGTGAAATTTGCACTTTTACATGTGAAAAACGTTTGCTATGAAAATCTAACTCTCACATGTGGAATTGCACTGTGAAAATCCAATTTGCAATTTCACATGTGAAATACTTTCAAATGTTGTCACGTGTAGTTTCATGGTATCACATGTTGAAAATGTGCATCCCCATGTTGTCACAATTATTTAACGAGATCATGTTTTCATATGTGCTCAAATGTTTTCACGTGTCGTTTCATGTTATCACATGTTGCTTAATGTGGTCACAAGCTATCACATTAACTTCACATAAGATCATGTGAAATAAAGTTCATGTTGTTTTTCCGTAAGTGACATGCGCACGCACGCGCGCACACACACACCCCCACACCCCCCCACACACACACACACACACACCCACACACACCCACACAAATAACATCCAGAACCTAATGTTGAGGTTAGCAGAAGTCAACTAGAATATGTTGGAGATGTCAGGAGCTTGTAGAACCAGAGTTCCCAGATCACTACACACACACGCACACACACATACACACACACCTTCAGCTGTGAGATTAATGACCGTGTCTGCACCCAAACAGAAAATAAAAACCTCCAGAGCACAATAATGAATCCTCTAACCTCCAGATGAATGAATGTTTCGGACCCTGATACAGCACATACACTTACAACAATGAAACTCTCCTCGAACCCTGACATAGCACACACCCTTCCAACAAAGGAATTCTCCTGAAAGGCTGCACTGCTTTCAGACCCTAGTCTTTAAGTTAACGAGGGAGGAGGGCCTTTGTAGCCTATATCAGCACAGATAGAGATGAATACCACTTTGTTTTCATACGTAGGCTGACACACGCATGTGCATAAGCAAGCACAAACAAACACCCACGCACACACACAGACCCACCAGATAACTTCTTTATCTGCAGACACAGTTGGGCTAAGGCATGCACTGACATTTTGACTAGATTTCAATTATGATGTGAGAAGATGCAGGGAGCTCAGAACAACATGGTAAACAATATGGTAAACATCTCTGTAAACAGTAAACACCAACAGCAGCTAAATATCAGAACTGAAGATCAAAATCCTGTTAGTCTCATCCTTCTCTCTGTTTCTCTTCCTCCCTCTCTCCCTCTCTCCAACCCTCTTCTCTGGCTCTGTCTATCCCACGGGGCACAGATGTCAATTCAATGTTTATTCCACGTTGTTTCAATGTAATTTCATTGAAATTACGTGGAAACAATGAGTGTATGCCCAGTGGGATCCCTCTTCCGCCTCTCTGTCTGTCTCTCTCTCGTTCCCTCTCTCCCCTGTCTCTCTGGCTGTGTGGGTTCTTGTTTCCTTTGAGGCTGCTGTGACTGCCTGTTACCTCTGCTACGCTTCTCTAGAAGGGCTTCAATGCTGCCAGTTAGTGTTTGTGTGTGTGAGAGAGCGAGAGGGAGAGAGATCATGAGAGGGAGAGCATCTTCTCTTACATCATTCCAGAAATACCAAGTCAGTGTCACTAAAATCCTACGCACACACAGTTAGAAGGACAGATGGAATGGCCACCCCATCCGCCTGCCAATAAAACCCACAGCTGTGTGTGTATGTGTGTGCATGTGAGAGTGTGTGTGCGTGCGTGCATGATGTCTGGTCAATTCCACAGCAGCCTGCTCAGTCTCCTTGGGTGACCCACGCTCCGTTAACCACAGAGCTGTGAATCTGGGAGTGTGACTTTAATTAACATTGCCACTAGGCCACTGGGTGTGACAATGACAGTGACGTTGATGACTGTGGTGCTGTTGTGGTGGCTGGGTGCGCAGGGACAGAGAGACAAGGACACCAGGCCTTGATCGGAACATTGCAAAGCCCTCTCTGTGTCACTATGACCTCTGTCCCCAACCCCGCAGCCCACGTGCTGTCTCCCAGGACCCTGTCATTTCTTCTGTCACCGGGAGAAACCATCATACTGTCAGAGGGGTGGGGAGTCAGAAGAACTGTCACAGCAACTTTTCTAACTGACTGACTTTGCTTTACTTTTCACAGTGGCAGGGCTGTGTGTGTTTGACAGGGTGGGTGTCTGTGTGTTGATAGGGCATCTGACTGTGTATGCCATTTTACACAGTGCATATAAAACTTCATTAGAGCATTTGTCTAAATATTAAACAAAGAATCAGTGAGGTGTGCGTGCTGTGTGTATGTGCGTGTGTGTGTTAGTCAGGGTGAGTGATGAGTCCTTATTGGTAGATTAAGCGTGGAAACGTGACTAGGTTTCAGAATGGAGATCATTGATTCAGGTCTGGAGCCAATCGCTCTTATAAATCATCAATATGTCCTTCAGCAGGAAAGGAGAGAAAAGGAGAGGAGAGGAGTGGATAAGAGGGGAGGAAGAGAATAAAGGAAGAGGATGAAAAGAATATACATAGAGAGTGTTTATCCCACAGGGTTGTGTGTGGGGAACTAGAGAGGGTAGGAGAGGAGGCCAGAGGCTGGAGAGAGGGTAGGAGAGGAGGCCAGAGGCTGTTGTGTGGGTGACTGAGGACAATCTGGAGTTTGAGGAAGTGGAACAGCTGGACCATAGCCTTTAGACCTGCCCTTAGAGAGAGAGAGAGAGACAGAGAGTGTGTGTTTGTGTGTGTGTGTGTGTGTGTGTGTGTGTGTGTGTGTGTGTGTGAGAGAGAGAGAGAGATAGATAATATGTGTATACAGTATGTTCTGCCCCATCTTTTTTCTCATTAACTCTCTGTATTTCTCTCTCTCTCCCTCACGGACCTTAACTTACCCTCTCTCCCCCCACAGTGAGATGGCCCAAGGTGAAAAACAGAGGTCAAACTACATGGTCACCTGGATGAGCAGAGTAAGGCAGAGAGGACAACTGAGACCACCACCCTGCTAACTACTGGATGAGTACAGCTTAGACCTCACTCACCCTCTCAAGGAGATCACAGAAAGGGTTGATTGGAGGCAGTATGATAACTATTCACACACACACACACACACACCACACACACACACACACAAACACAGCACTCTGGGTCAAGTGGGTTACACACACATGAGAACAGAAACTTCAGAGATCAAACAGTTTGCTACAAAGTTATTTTAAATATCCGTCACCTTCAATTCTCTGCTCTCTATTGAACCTGATGCAAGAGATGAGCTGAGGATAACTGACTGAGAGGAACTGACTTGACTTGCTATGGGCCTTTTATACACTACTGTATATAGTTATTTCCATAACTTCTATACTACCCACACACAGTGTTGTCGTAGGGTGACTAGGGTTTATTAGGAGCAGTATTTGGCAGGTGCTCTAAGTGCACAAGGTCTTAAAGGGAACAGTTTCTGGCAGGCGCTCTAGTCACTGTTACGGAACAAAGTCTTGTAAATGAATAAAAAAGCTACGGCGTACTCGGAGGTCTGAATAATCCCAGATTTACATGAATTAGACACCAGTTAGAGAGGGGGAGGGGTGGTTCTGTGAAAACTGCACACATGCTTCCAAAAAACAGATTATTCAGAAACAAAAAGCACTGGAATAATACGTTCTCAACCAACATAATACATATTATACAACATCACATGACCATGTAGAAAATTTTGTTTTCCCTCTATACATACAGATATCATCATATTCTTACTAAAAAATAGTATTTGCTTACGAAGTGTGGATAAGGTTTCCTCTCTAACAAACACCAACAGAATATGTATACCAGTCAACAGTCCTGTACACTTTAGGGCCTGTACTATACAGCACTGATGCCTTACCGTCCCCTCATACCATTACACTGTGCATGTAGACAGAGACCAAAGTTCAAGGGGAACAGTTTTAGTCATAAACTGTAGGCTGTGGTACACACACAGATGTGCAGTAAAGGAATCTGTTTCTGATGATTCTGAGAGCAGAGAGGGGGGAGAAGTGGGGGTCAGGTTATGGCTCTTCACTAGTGTTTTTACCTGGTGGGGATGTGTGTGTTTGGGTCTGGGTCGATCAGTAAGGTGTGCGTGTGTGTGTGTGTGACTGTGTGTGTTTATGAGTGTGTGCATGTGTGAGAGCATGTTGCATGTGGGTGCATGTGCTTTTGTGCATTGTGAATGTGTGTTGTCAAGTTACACTGCTATCTCATCCCCCAGGCAGTCTGGTGGTCCCTGTCTGTTGAGCACGTTTAGTAGGCGGAGGGTCTCCTCGTCAGTCCCCCAGCCGTATATGATATCCCTCTCCTCCATCTCCTCCCTCTCTTCTCTCACCTCCCTCTCATCACTATCTTCCGTGGACTCGTACTCGGACGCAATGCCAGACTCCCGGAACCTCAGCAGCTCCAGACTGCCCAGTACCTCGTCGCGGGTTGATGACATCACCACCCCCGACCCCTCCTGACCCTTCACTCCATTCTGACCCCTCCGCTGTGGTGGAGTAGGGGGGCGAGGGTCAGGTGTTGGGGGTCCGGGAAGGAAGCGGAAACATTCAAGCTTGAGGAGACACTGTTCCCTACCTAGGGGGCTGCCCAGGGGCAGGGAGGAAGAGAAGAGGGGGGTGACCGTCCCGTCCTGGCCCACACCCATGTTGATGCCCAGCGCTGGCAGGTTGAGGTTGGCGTGGTCCTGGGGTCGCGGGGTCGTTGGGTCACACAACACCGGGGGGACGGTGGAACGGAAAGTGATCTCCAATAGACTGTCCTGGGAACCCACTGGAAGAGTGGAAGAATGGAAAGGGAGAAAAGGGGGAGAGAAAAGAAGGATGTTAGTTTCATTAAAGGTAAGCATCCTTCCACACATTGAGCTAACTGAGCTTACATTCACCTGTTTAACTGCTAACATGAGGCTAATTCCCATCCACCCCTGGTATGGAGTGTGAAACGCTGTCAAACACTACATTAGGAGGAGGTGAGGTGTGGAGTGTGATATCAGGAGGAGAGGAGAGGGCTGAGGTGGCTGAGGTGTAGAGCTGGTTGGTCCGCTGAGGTGTAACATGTTGTATAATGAAGCAGCTGAGGAAGTTGTGAAGTAATGTAACATGTTACATGATAACATGCTGGTTGGTCCATTGGAGTCTATGCTTGGCCAGTCAGCTTAAAGAAGTGTGATATGGTGTGTGATGAGAGAAAGATGGGGGGAGGGAGAGAAGAAATGTGAAATAGGGGAGGAGAAGATAAACAGGTTCTTTGAGTAGATAATGAGATGAAGGGAGAACAGAGAAAAAGAGACCAAGACTCTGTGTGTGTCCATGTGTGTGTGTGTGTTCGCAAGTCTGTGTGTACATGTGTGTCATGCGTATGTTTGTGTGTGTGTGTATGTGTGTGGTCATGCATCCTGTGTGTACTTACTGGAGCTGGGCCCAGACATTTTGACCTCCAGTTCCTGGATCTGTTTGACCAGTAGAGAGATGTGCTGCAGCAGGTCCTTGTTCTGGAGCAGCAGCTGGTGGACTCTGGCCTGGGCCTCCAGTCTGGCTGTAGCCTCCACACTCAGCTGGTCCTTCAACAGGTGCACCTGGGGGGAGACCACACACACACACACACACACACACACACACACACACACACACACACACACACACACATACATACATCTGAGATAAGTACTCACTTGGAAGAGAGAGAACACACATGCATGCACGCACACACACAAGATACCGCTGTACAGTGTGTTCATACACCTGAGAGAGACAGAGAGACAGAGAGAGAGAGACAGAGAGAGAGAGAGAGAGAGAGAGAGAGAGAGAGAGCGAGAGAGAGAGAGAGAGAGAGAGAGAGAGAGAGAGAGAGAGAGAGAGAGAGAGAGAGAGAGAGAGAGAGAGAGAACAGATACTCCTGAGATATTGAGTGTCACTGTAAGCATGTCTGTGTGAATTTCTGTACATGTCTCACCAAAGCCCATAACTCGAGGAGCAAGATGAGGACTGCCATACTTTAAGCTTAAGCTCAAGCTCATGAAAACTTAATGCCATGAATGGTCTGTAGCAGGATTAAACCAAGAGAAGAAAAAATACAGTTTCCATTAAAGGCTGCAGCCTGCAGTGGCATTAGTCACTAAATAATTTAAACCAGAGACGAAGAAGAATAAACCCTGTTTCTCCTCTAGCCCAGGCTTCAACACCAGGCTCAGGAGACAGACAACCCTGGAGATGATCATAGGAACAAACAGGGCTGTTTGGATTCCTAGGCATGTCTTCTCAGAAACAGTACACATGGAGAGAGACTGATGATGACTAAAATGTAAATGTAAAATGATGATGCCTGGAGCAGTAGCTTAGTGAGTTCTTCAATATCAAGGGACGTGCATGTCTTTTAGTCTACATGGTATTACTAGCCAGAGCTTAGGTGCAACCTCTTTTATAAAAACTGGAAGGTCATTCCAAGGTGAGGCAGAGTGTCGTTGGATGTGTCGCGTATATCATGGCAAGAGAAGCGATGGGGATATAGTAAAGGACGAGCCCCATCTCATTCTGAATAGTCGACAATGAGTGCTACTCTGGTACTTCTAACTTGACATTGAGCACTTCTTCTTCCAACTTTATGATGGTTTCTATAGGAACTTTTCTGCTGTGGTTTTCTTACATCAAGGAGCATGATGAATATATAGAGATATTTCTGGCTTGTTATTCATCCCATGTCTCTATAGCACTGCATTGCTCTCACTTCAAGGAGAATGGAGCATGAATAGAGTCATGAGGCTGTAGCTACAGTAGAGAGTCAGAAGATACAATTCTGCTTTCATCATACCACAGCTACAAAACTCTGTAACCAAGGTAATGTGGATGTATAGCTGTTTGTCATCATTAGTGATGCAATTACTGTAAAGAGAAACAGTTGATGGTGATGGAATTAGATAAACAGTTGAAGGACTTTGTGTCTAATGAGAAACCTCTGAACTGTGCACACACAAGATGGAGCCACTCCATCTCATGGCTTCCACTTATTGCAATGTACTCCCCTTCAACCCCACACCCTCCCCTCTTCCCCCCTCTTCTCATCCTATCTCTTCTCCTCCTCTTCCACTTACTGTACTCTCCCCTTATTCTCTCCCCTTCACTCCCCTCACCCTCCTCTTTCCCCCTCTTCTCATCCTCCATTCACCCCTGGAAGTTAAACACCAGGAAGGAGAGAGGGTAAAAGACAGATCAGATTCCATCATCACTCCACTTAGCGACAAATAGCAGTGATCTAGCCTCCATTAAAGTGGGCCATCAGCCTCAGAGTTAATCTGTAAATCCCGACAGTCTAACGGCGCTGTCAGGGTAATATACCGCCGTACGACACCTCAAGCCCCGCCAGGACACAACATGAGATATTTAGGCTGAAAGGTATGTGACTATGATCAAAGTGTGAAAGGTAAACTGAGTTTAGTTCGACATGCCTTGGAGAAGGAAGGTGTCATATTTGTCTTGGATAGATCTGAGACGTGACTGTGAGACGTCTTGCAAAAATGCTGCTCTGTGGTGATGGTGAACGCAGCCTGAATAATAACACGGAGAACAGAGATACTAAATGTGTCTCTGTGTGTGTGATGATTGAGAGATAGAGATAAAAGCAGAGAGGGGGAGATAGAGTGAGTTAGTGAGTGAGAGAGAGAGAGGGAGAGAGAGAGTGTGAGGGAGACAAAGTTCAATTTGAGCCAGACAGACATGTTCTTATCAACACCTTAAAGCATCTTCTGCATATTTAATCAAAGAAACAGTAATTCAATGCTTTGAAGCAGAATTTGGTTTGATGAGACAGAATTCCACATGGGTTGTATTACAATCTTGAAGAGTCTTGATGTCTTGAACAGTGACTTGACTCAGTAACCAGCTGGTTGGTTATGTAGGATAGGTAACAGGTAAGTATGGTTTGTATTCAAATCAAATCAAATCAAATTAAATGTTATTTGCCACATGCGCCGAATACAACAGGTGTAGACATTACAGTGAAATGCTTACTTACAAGCCCTTAACCAACAATGCAGTTTTTTAAAGAAAAAGTTTAAAGAAAAAAAGTGTTAATTAAAGGAAAATAAAAAATAAAAGCAAATTGAGGTCATAAAGTGACTATGCATAAATAATAAACAGAGTAGAATCAGCGTAAAAGAGGGGGATGGGGTGGGGTGGGGGGGCAGTGCAAATAGTCCGGGTAGCCATGATTAGCTGTTCAGGAGTCTTATGGCTTGGAGGTAGAAGCTGTTGAGAAGCCTTTTGGACCTAGACTTGGCGCTCCGGTACCGCTTGCCGTGCGGTAGCAGAGAGAACAGTCTATGACTAAGGTGGCTTGAGTCTTTGACAATTTTTAGAGCCTTCCTCTGACACCGCCTGGTATAGAGGTCCTGGATGGCAGGAAGCTTGGCCCCAGTGATGTACTGGGCCGTACGCACTACCCGGTGTAGCTGTATAACTTTTTGAGGATCTGAGGACCCATGCCAAATATTTTCAGTCTCCTGAGGGGGAATAGGTTTTGTCGTGCCCTCTTCACAACTCTCTTGGTGTGTTTGGACCATGATAGTTCGTTGGTGATGTGGACACCAAGGAACTTGAAGCTCTCAACCTGTTCCACTACAGCCTCGTCGATGAGAATGGGGGCGTGCCCAGTCCTCTTTTTTATCCTGTAGTCCACAATCATCTCCTTTGTCTTGATCACGTTGAGGGAGAGGTTGTTATCCTGAAACCACACGGCCAGTTCTCTGACCTCCTCCCTATAGGCTGTCTCATCGTTGTCGGTGATCAGGCCTACCACTGTTGTGTCGTCAGCAAACTTAATGATGGTGTTGGAGTCGTGCCTGGCCATGCAGTCATGGGTGAACAGGGAGTACAGGAGGGGACTGAGCACACACCCCTGAGGGGCCCCCGTGTTGAGGATCAGCATGGCAGACGTGTTGTTACCTACCCTTACCACCTGGGGGCGGCCCGTCAGGAAGTCCAGGATCCAGTTGCAGAGGGAGGTGTTTAGTCCCAGGATCCTTAGCTTAGTGATGAGCTTTGAGGGCACTATGGTGTTGAACGCTGAGCTGTAGTCAATGAATAGCATTCTCACGTAGGTGTTCCTCTTGTCCAGGTGGGAAAGGGCAGTGTGGAGTGCAATAGATATTGCATCATCTGTGGATCTGTTGGAGCGGTATGCAAATTGGAATGGGTCTAGTGTTTCTGGGATAATGGTGCTGATGTGAGCCATGACCAGCCTTTCAAAGCACTTCATGGCTACAGACGTGAGTGCTACGGGTCGGTAGTCATTTAGGCAGGTTATCTTAGTGTCCTTGGGCACAGGGACTATGGTGGTCTGCTTGAAACATGTTGGTATTACAGACACAGTCAGGGACATGTTGAAAATGTCAGTGAAGACACTTGCCAGTTGGTCAGCACATGCTCGGAGTACACGTCCTGGTAATCCGTCTGGCCCTGCGGCCTTGTGAATGTTGACCTGCTTAAAGGTCTTACTCACATCGGCTACGGAGAGCGTGATCACATAGTCATCCGGAACAGCTGATGCTCTGGGTTAGAGTCCCGCTCCTTGAAAGTGGCGGCTCTACCCTTTAGCTCAGTGCGGATGTTGCCTGTAATCCATGGCTTCTGGTTGGGGTATGTACGTACGGTCACTGTGGGGACGACGTCATCGATGCACTTATTGATGAAGCCAGTGACTTATGTGGTGTACTCCTCAATGCTATCTGAAGAATCCCGGAACATATTCCAGTCTGTGCTAGCAAAACAGTCCTGTAGCTTAGCATCTGCGTCATCTGACCACTTTTTTATTAACCGAGTCACTGGTGCTTCCTGCTTTAGTTTTTGCTTATAAGCAGGAATCAGGAGGATAGAGTTATGGTCAGATTTGTCAAATGGAGGGCGATGGACAGCTTTGTATGCGTCTCTGTGTGTGGAGTAAAGGTGGTCTAGAGTTTTTTTTTCTCTGGTTGCACATTTAACATGCTGGTAGAAATTAGGTAGAACGGATTTAAGTTTCCCTGCATTAAAGTCCTCGGCCACTAGGAGCGCTGCCTCTGGATGAGCGTTTTCCTGTTTACTTATGGCCTTATACAGCTCATTGAGTGCAATCTTAGTTCCAGCATCAGTGTGTGGTGGTAGATAGACAGCTACGCAAAATATAGATGAAAACTCTATTGGTAAATAGTATGGTCTACAGCTTATCATGAGATACTCTACCTCCGGCGAGCAAAACCTCGAGACTTCCATAGTGTTAGATTTTATGCACCAGCTGTTGTTTACAAATATACACAGACTGCCACCCCTTGTCTTACCGGAGTCAGGCGTTCTATCCTGACGATGTAGCGTATATCCCGCCAGCTGTATGTTATCAATATCGTCGTTCAGCCATTCAATGACGCATACAGGTGTCGTGACGTGACTTACTTTAATGTATGACTGTTATTTATTGAATCAACTAACTATGTTTAATTGTCACTTAATTAAATTAATCATGTAACAATTAACTCATTAGGAATTTGGGGCACCACGGAAGAAGTTGTTTAACGAGTTACCATCTCCCGAATTAAACTCTTAGAAGATATATATGTTATATATCGATAACAGTCACTTATTAAATAATTACCTCTTATCAGTCTCATTCTGAACGTCGCATAATCCTTGAACCTGCAAGAACCCTAACCTTATTGATGAATAAGCAATACACAAATTGGCTTAATTATTTATTTACTAACTAACTAAATAATAACACAGAATACAAACACACACGCACACATAGGTTATTGATTACTAACGTAATACAATGAAAACAGGTCCCTAGTGGACTGGACTAACAATAGCAAGAATGCTTGGGTAGGAGGAGGGTCAGAATGGAAGGGAGAGACAGAGATTCAAACTATTGTTGTTACTTTGGAGACTATGCTCACAGTAATCATAATACTTATGCACCCTAATAACCGCTCATTCAGATTAGAAATGCAACATGTATTTACACTACCATTCAAAAGTTTGGGGTCACTTAGAAATGTCCTTGTTTTCGAAAGAAAAGCAATTTTTTTGCCCATTAAAATAACATCAAATTGATCAGAAATACAGTGTAGACATTGTTAATGTTGTAAATGGCTATTGTAGCTGGAAACGGCTGATTTTTAATGGAATATCTACATAGGCGTACAGAGGCCCATTGTCAGCAACCATCAGTCCTGTGTTCCAATGGCACGTTGTGTTTGCTAATCCAAGTTTATCATTTTAAAAGGCTAATTGATCATTAGAAAACCCTTTTGAAATTATGTTAGCATAGCTGAAAACTGTTGTGCTGATTAAGGAAGCAATAAAACTGGCCTTCATGAGACTAGTTGAGTATCTGGAGCATCAGCAATTGTGGGTTCGTTTACAGGGATGAGGCGATTCCGGGATGCTGACCTTCTAGGCAGAGTTGCAAAGAAAAAGCCATATCTCAGACTGCCCATCTCAATCTTTTCTTTTTATTGGCCAGTCTGAGATACGGTAGTGTACGTGTAGCTGTCTTCGATAGTTGAGTTGATGATGTAGGACTCTGGTTTGCCCACCAGAGATCCCAATGTCCTTGGTAGAGTTTCTGGTCGTAGTGGTGGTTAGGATGGATACTTCAGCGTACCCTGTCATTCGTAGAGTTGATCTGTTAGAATAGATACTTCAGATGTACCAACGGTTGTCTGAGAGGGATTGTCCTTCCCAACTTTCGTGTCTTTAGTGAAAGTTCTCTAGACGACTATACATGCCAGCTGCAGACTGAGATGATAAGGTCTAGTGCGTTGTTGTCTTCTTCTTCACCTCGTGTAGAGGTTGAGAGTTTCAGAGTTTCTCCATTTCAAACGTGTGGACTAATGTCTCATGTTTTCTGGTCTTTCTGGTCTTTCTGGTCTAACCATTTTGTAACGTGTAGCTTCAGCTTCACGTCTGCTGGTCTGAGGTGAATTTCGTCACGAGGGGTTTTATACTTGAGTAGAAAAGGGGGCGTTTCATCATGTTTGTGCTCATCTGGGTGTGGCCACTGACTGAGAACAAATCAATATGGAAACAATCATCTCATCTAGAATGCTAAAATCACATTGTTATCTTCACAAAAGTATTATTATACTTAATCATTCGTTTTATACAACAATTAGATGCAAACCTCATAACTG